GAAGGAAAATCCCGTAATCAAAGGTTAGTTATGTTATTGTGAGTTCGTATAACCATGCTAATATGACTAATGACCTCCATGATGTTTCTTTAGGCGTCGTACGATTACCAAATTTGTCACCCCAGGCGTGCCCGCCTAACTGTAGCTAATAGTTCAGGTGTGGGATTGTTGGTCCCAAATAGATCTATTCACAAATTTCATGTTCTCCTCCAGGAGACTCTGGTAATACTAAAGGTGATGATTTACTCGTACCCCAAAGGGCATAACGAAGATAGGTCTCACAATCCTGTATTAACTAGTTTACGTGTGGTTTGGTTATTCTTGAGTTCGAAATCGTTGGTAAATGGTGTAAATAATTATACACCAAATAATTATTTAGTAAGATACTCTTGTTATCTGTAGATAAAAATGGATAAACTAAATCTGTAATAATGTATGTGTTTGAATCTGTAAAACCGGTAAAGAATTCCCCAAACTATCCTATTATAGTTTGACTGGTATGTTATGTTCATGGATTTTTCTGAAAACTATGGAATTATGTTTAGAAAGTGTCCCTTATGCTCCGCATAATACAAAAGGGATAAGTTATCTAAAAGTTCGATGTAAAACTGTTGTAATTGCATCAATTTTAATTTGTGAAAACCTTTATGTGTGACTTGTATTCCCCCTGAAAACGTTATAAAAAACTCATAAAAGTGTAGGGGTATGAACTCACAGTTTAATGTAGAATCCATCTGTACGATTGGTATGAGTGTTGAGTGTCAACTGATGTTTCGTATGCAAGTGGATCCTATTAACATATAGTAACACATATATGTATTAGATTAAGGTATTCCATGACTAAACATGACGGGAAACCATCCTAAGGACCTGAAAATGCTTGAACTAAGTGTCAGAACCATAAATGATCGAACGAGGAAGGTATACGGCCACCCTAAGGGTGTGTACGGCCATGGGTGTACGGCCCATGAGTGTACAGCCGTACACTCATGATGGGGAGTGTTTTTGAGGTGTTTCCAAGGTTCTACAAGCATTCAAGGAGTGCTCTAGGTCCCATACTTAGTGGTTTTAGCGAGTTTAAGGCCAAATATGAGCATTAAAGTAGGTGTAAGGTCGTAAGTGTGTGTGTGCGGCCGTACATAGGAGTGGGCGGCCGTACAAAGGGGTGTGCGATCGTACACTCTTCATCTATGCCCAAAATGTTGATTTTGAGGTGCTTCAAGGCTAATACCAAGTCCAACTAGCAGACGGAGGCCAAACTCTCACTTTGGAGAGCCTTTAAGGTGTGTACGGCCACCTTATGAAGGTATGCGGCCGTATACCTTCAAAGGATGAAGAACATGATGGAACTTGATGAATTAAGGCTTGGATCAAGAAGTATTACAAGTATAACAAGCTAGATGTTGGAATACTTATGTTTTTTAAACCTTTGGAGGGTCCTTATATGAAGATTCTAGAGAGAGAAAGTAGTGTGCAACCAAAAGGGGAAAAGAATGAATGAAGGGGTCTCCTCTTATATATAGAGGTGGGTATACGGTTGAAGGGTGGGTGTGCGGCCGCACACCCATGTGTACGGTCGTACACTCCTCTAAAGATGGTGTATGGCCTAGTTGTTGTACTATGACTTGGTATTGCTCGACCTAGAACCCAAAATTTGATTGTACGAGGCTTAGAATGCTTATTAAACCTTTAAACTGTGTTAAATGGTGGCATAATCGAATTTAATACTAATATAATTGACCAATCGTACAAGTTAGAAATTTCAGGTTGTCACATACTATTATACATACTCTCTGATTTCAAGCTCATATTCCACCAACATATTCGGTGGAAGGTTTACACACATCAAATCACCTTTTAAACATCCTTCCTTCCACTACCCTAAACAATGACACTCCATATCACAAATTGTTCAACAAAACTCTGTCATCTTCTTACCTACACATTTTTGGTTGTCTATGTTTCCCACACCTAAATAACACTCTCAAATTACAACCTCGATCTGTTACATGCATCTTTCTTGGATATCCTCTCGATCACAAAGGGTTCCATTGTCTTAACCTTCACACCAATTATATCATTTTCTCTCTCCGTGTCACCTTTGTTTAATAGGGTTTTCCTTTCGATTCTATGACACCTCTTCGCTCTCTCGAGTATGAGTTTATCAACTTTGATAATTGTCAAAATTGCTTCAATGATCCGAGCCACCCCTCTTTTCTTCTTGGCTTGTTTTTTCCCATCCACATCAAGGATGTCTCTCCATCCGACATCCCTTCCGTTGCTTCCTCAGATGATTTTTCGGTTGTCATAACTCCTACCTGCAACAAGACATCTGTCAGGATCTTCGATGCTTCTCTCTACTCTCTGATCACCATTGACCCTCATATCTCTATTCTTTCACAAACCGACCAAAATATTATTTCCTCTCCCTCTCACACTCATTCCATTACCAGTCGTGGTCGACACGATGTAGTTAAACCTATCAACAAACATAATATTCACAACGACTCTAATCCCGAATCCTCTCATTTTCCAATAAACTATTCTCAAACCTTTAGAGATCCAAATTAGCTAAAACCTATGCACGATGAATGTAATACACTTATTTCTAACGGAACTTGGGTACTTATGCCTCAGCCTTCCAATGTTAATGTGGTTGATTTTATTTGGTTGTTTAAAAAGAAACATAATGCATATGGTTCTTTAGCGCGCTACAAGGCGGGACTTATTGCCAATGGTCGTAGTCAACAACTCGAAAAGTGATTGTAACAAGACATTTAGCCTAGTTGTCAATTCGACTACTATTTGGACTGTTCTTAGTTTAGCTACGTCCCACCATTGGCATGTTTATTAGTTGGATGTGAAGAATGCATTTCTTCATGGTCACCTACTAGAAACCATTTACATCCACCAACCGTCGGGCTTCCGAGATCATTGCACTCCTCATCATGTCTATTTACTTCAAAAGTCTTTGTATGGACGTAAACAGGCACGTCAGGATTGGTACCATAGGTTTGCTTAGTTTTATACTGTTCACAGGTTTGATAACAACCGATCAGACTCTTATATGTTTGTCTATAGACAAGGACATCATCTTGCGTATCTCCTCCTATATGTAGATGACATTGTATTGACAGCTTCTTCTACAACTCTCCTTCAACAGATTATCACCACTTTATGTTTAGAGTTTTCTATGATAGATGTGGGCTCTTTGAACTATTTTCTTAGTATTGTTGTCACTAGAGATCGACATGATATGTTTTTATCTCAACAAAAATATGCCTCCGAGATCCTTGAATGAGCTCACATGACCAATTGCAAACCATCTCGCACTCCTACTAACACATCAACTAAACTAGACGGGACCGATTCTCCTATCACGAATCCGTCCCTTTATCGCAGCCTTGTTGGAGCCTTATAATACCTGACTTTTACTCGGTCGAATATCACCTATATTGTTCAGCAAGATCTGTCTATTTATGCATGATCCTCGAGAGTCTCATTTCTTGGCTCTCAAATACATTCTGAAATACATCATGGTACCCTTCATCATGGGTTACAATTGTATCCGTCATCTTCTCGTGGTTTGGTTGCTTACTCCGATGCAAACTAGGTCGGATGCCCCACTTCTTGATGATCCACATCCAGATACTATGTGTCTCTCGGGCAGAACCTTGTCTCATCTTCATCCAAGAGACAAGGTAATCCACGAGACAAGGTATCATCTCTCGATCCAGTGTCAAAGCTGAGTACCGTTGCAAATGTTGTTGCAGAGACGTACTGGCTTTGCAATCCGTTACATGAGTTGTCATATCCTCCTCTCACGACTACTCTAGTTTACTTTGATAATACCAACGTTGTGTACCTATCCTCTAACCCGATTCAACATCAACGTTCGAAGCACATCGATATTAACATTCACTTCGTCAAAGATAAAATTGTCATGGGTCGGGTTCGGGGTCTACATGTTCCATTTTGTTCGGGGTCTACATTTTCCATCTTGTCCTAGTATGCAAATATCTTCACCAAAAGACTACCCTCATTGTTGTTTCTTGACTTCAGATCCAAACGACCGTTCCCGTCCTCCCGTTCCGATTGTGGGGGGTTGTTAGACTATTTGTATGTGTATTATTATATTTATGTGGCCCATTGTATTTAGTTCACTCAAATTTAACCCATGTCTTTGTATGTATTGTATATATCCGTATATTGTATCACTTTGAAGGTAATGAGAATTACACGTTGGAACACTTATAGATTGTAAAATGATTTGGAGCAAAATCGCAATCGGTAATTCACTCCCTTTCCTAACTCATTTTCAATCCACTTCACAATCAATTTCCCTTCTCATCCGTCCTTTAGGTTTGCTTCGAATTTGGTTTAATCGGCTAGTTTAACATAAAATTGCACCGGAAATTAGTTTATGCAAAAAATTTGCTACCCGATTTAAGTTTTTAATTATTGTCAAAAGTTCATAAGCATCTTTCATGTGTCAGTTTGTGATATATTATGATTTTGATATTAAATTGCTTCCCTTTCCAAATATTTTCCACTAATGAGAGGAAACGGAACGGATTATGAGATGATTGTTAATCAGCAAGTGGTGCGTTTTCACTTCGTTGTTGTGGGTCAACGACGGCCTTACAATTAATATCCTCATAATTATGACAGAATGGCTTTAGATGAAAGACGACTTTTCCCAAGTCTTCCTTGCTTTGTTTACCAAAGAAAACAAAATCTTTATGAGAAAAAAAGATCGATTTGATATAAATCCTTTTCAGATTCATACATACATATTTGAGATCCATTTTAGATATCAAACTTTTAGAGAAAAATATTCATTTGATATAAAACTTGTTACATATTTCCTCATATGGAAACATTTAAAACATTTACTATAAAAATTAATACAAGTTTTGGTACATGAAACAACTATATATAATTATAAACACTTGATATAGAAACTAACACATGTTGATGCTAATTTCCACATTCGATACTTAATGATTAATCTGAGCCAACATCAACCTAGCATCCTTACTGTTGGGCCTTTCTTTCGGATTATCCATGGTACAGAAGCAAGCAATCTTAAGAACAAGAAGCATCTGTTCCTCATAACCATTCCCCAAAAGCTTCGAATCAATCGCTTGTTTTGGGTCCTCAGATGTAATCACATTTCTCATCCATTTCACCAAACTCATCTCAGATGTCCGCTGAAAAAACTCATCCGAAGGAAGCTTCCCCATCACCAGAACTGCCAACAATATCCCAAAACTGTAGATATCACATTTATCGGTAAATTTCATAGTCTGGTGATACTCCGGCGCGATGTATCCTAAAGTTCCGGCGACATTTGAGCTCGTCATGTGTGTATCGGCATCTGGGATTGATTTCGCAAGCCCAAAATCTGCTATCCGAGCTTCCATGTCATCGTCAAGAAGGACATTGGCTGGTTTTAAATCTCTGTGAACTATACGAGGAGTGTGACTCATGTGAAGATACTCCAGTCCGGCAGCTACTCCGAGCGCCACCCTGTGTCTCGCGAGCCAATCGAGTTCCCGGCTACCTTCTTTGACTTGCTGTAAAATGTCTTGTAAACTGCCGTTCTTCATGAATTCGTACACTAGGTAGTGACAATTTGGCCGGGA